GCCTAGACACAGCCGATAGGACTCCTTGGACGGGGAATCAGCCCGTCGCAAGGCCGCCACCTACACACAAGGCAACACAAACACAGAATAAACGCACACAGACATCCACGCCTGGAGTGGGATTTGAACCCACGATCCCAGTGTTCGAGCGGGCGAAAACAGTACATGCTTAGACCGCGGGGCCACTGTGATCGGCGTGCGCAGCTACTCCGTGGTTTTAGTCCGCAAGCGAACTATACCGACCGAGCGACCGCCGCTTGTCGGCGAAGTTAGTGCCAATTTTAGCGGATAGAGGGTGTCGCGTGGTCAGCACAACGAATCCCCACGGCCGTTAATTTCGGTTTTCTAGACCGGAGCCGCTATTTCTTTGAAACAGCTCCTCAGTTATCCTCACGAAGCTGCGTGGACCCCGTTCCAGAACCACTACTTCTCAGAAAATCTGGTAGCGCCGGGAATCGAACCAGGATCTCTGGTTCTATAGCCTGGAACTCTGACCACTAGACCACAGAGGTGGTCTGTGCGCAGCTACTAGCAAGACAAAAAGAATGTTCTATTAAAGTCAGTCGGCAGTGGAATATAAAGTACGTTCATGATGTGAACAGCGAGACTTTCTCCCTGAGTTAACCGGTTTAGCTTGACTTCGAATTAAGCATTCTGGTCCCAAGAATCCACGATTCACGCAACTAAAAGGATAAACTACACAGAATTCAAACGTTTTAAAGCAGCTGGGAAGCCTACTTCCAAACAAGTTTTCAGTCTGTTTATAAATAAATGTTTATCGACCTTGAACTGCAGGAAATGACCCTGATAAAATATAGCTATATAACTTGTACACCGCTGTTGTTGTTCTTGTCGTCTATGATGCAAACTTCAATTTGGTTTTAAGTTTCTACCGCATGTCATGCCTCCGTGCTTCCAGAAGTTGCAACTCGTCTGCTACCACCACATTGACATTCTAACGAGCACACCAACACAAATAAGCACTAATATGCATATAAAGCGACTTTGATACACAAATAGCTGGCCAACATTTAACGTAATGTACAAAGAAAAAAGGAAAAGAACAAAAACATCACGACCTTCAATTCCCAAACCGGAAGACATTATGACACAGATTGCAGCTGACGACTTCATTTGAAATACTGCACCACAGCGATGGGCCGTGGCATAGCTCAGGCGGGTAGTCATGTAGTCAGGCTCGGTCATGTGGGATTTGTGCTGGACAAAGTGGCACTGGGGCAGGTTATCTCCGAGTACTTCGGTTTCCCCTGCCAATTCTCATTCCACCGACTGCTCCACAACCATCATTTATCATCTGTGGCTGGTATAGGAGGCCAAAGAGTGACCGCAGTACCAAGTGGACTCAGTCTCACCCCATGACAAACTAAAAGCAAACAAACTCCGCGGTTTCAGTCAGCAAGCAAACTATACCGACCGAGCTACCGCCGCTTGTCGGCGAAGTTAGTGCCCACTTTTTGCCGACAGAGGGTGTCACGTGGTCAGCGCAACGAATCCCCACGGCCGTTACTTTCGTTTTTCTAGACCGGAGCCGATATTTCTTCGAAATAGCTCCTCAATTATCCTCACGATGCTGAGTGGACACAGTTCCAGACCCACTACTTCTCAGAAAATTTGGTAGCGCCGGGAATCGAACCTGGGATCTCCGGATCTGCAGCCAGCAACTCTGACCACTAGACCGCAGAGGCTGTCCATTTATGCCAGATTTTGTTATCAATTCAGTCATCATTCACACCGACTACCCTGACAGATTTTGTGTCCCTCCAGGCAAATGCCGGGTAGGAAACCGATTAGGCTATGACCGATTTCTTCCAAATTATTTTCATTTCATTTTTCACCAGTCATCTTATAATTCGAAGCTACACAGTTTCTGAGATATCAACAGAGTCGTAAAATAAGCCATAAAATACCTTTCTAAATCCTATTCAGACGTGGGCTTCTTAAGTGGAGGATCATGCCATCGCAATGCGTGTAGCTAAATATGCCAACAAAACATTCATGTACTGAGCACGACTCGGACATGTCATCAGATTGTGGGGCAATTGCGCATGCTCTGCACTGCGCAGCGGTTGCCTGCCGGAACCAGTAACGGCAAAGTTCCGCTCATGTTTCTATGGAATGGCGTCTACTCTCAATTCATTTTGCGCCTGGTAACTCCCTAATAGAGGGGGAGTGACCCCTCCTCTCGTCGAAGAGGAGGTCTCATTTCAGGACACGCAGAAGTCTTGGAAAGAACAAAAATATGGCCATACGTCATGTCGGGGCCCGAAACCAAGAACGATTATGCTGGCGAGTACCATCAGCAATTTACTGGACTGCACTAATTGGAGAGGCAGAGGGACATGATTCTTTCACTGCTCACGGACCTCACGAGCCACTGCTTCTAAGTGGCATTACTGACTGTCCAGAACATTTAGAGTACGTTGCACTTTGAGTAGGTGGACGTCATGTGTGTTCAACGAGATTTCCGATATAGCGAGTTTGTTTCCTACTGCATGCTGGGTGGACCGCCTCTGTGGTCTAGTGGTCAGAGTTCATGGCTACAGGTCCAGAGGTCTGCGTTCAATTCCCGGCACTACCAAATTTTCTGAGAAGTAGTAGGTCTGCAACGGGGTCCACTCAGCCTTGTGAGGATAACTGAGGAGTTATTGCAAGGAAATAGCGGCCCCGGTCTAGAAAACCTAAATTAAAGGCCGTGGGGATTCGTTGCGCTGACCACGTGACACCCTCTATCCGCTAAAGTTGGTATTAACTTCGCCGACAAGCGGCGGTCGCTCGGTTGATATAGTTCGCTTGCGGACTACAGGCCACGGAGTTTTTATTGCATGTTGGTAACAGACTCTTACAAATATCCATTGATATAACGAGCTACGTCACTATCACACCAAACATGGTTTAGTTATAGGTAAGAGGTAAAGGTATGCCTGTAACAGGCCGTGGAGGCCCATAGGGTTGAGACGACGAGGCTCCCACATTTTCTCTAGACAATCGGCTCACAGATGTCGGTGTGGTTGTCAGCCTTATGCGCCGGCCGCCCTTTACCCCCTTGAATATTCTGGTACTCATTTCTCATGGAGGCTGAGTCGACCCCAGGGGCATAGTGCGGCTGGAAGGACTACGTAAATTGAAAAATATCCACCTTATCGGGACTCGAAACCGCGATCTTCCGGCTTGTTGCATAGTGCCTCGGCCAACTACGCTACCGCGTGCCTCGGTTTAGTTATAGTTATAGTTTAGTATTAATGTCTACCAATAAATTGGAGTCCTGAGAAACGTCGAGCGAGCTCGGCTTGGCACACTATTCGACCCTGAGAACTAACACATCTAATATCCTGGACAAAACAGTTCAACATCAAACGAACTGTTCCACAAGCTAAATAGAACTGATAACACAAAGAATTAACCAGTATACGCCGTAGGCCAGTCACGGTAGCCGCGCGGTCTAAAGCATGAACTGTCTTTGCTCGCTCGAAAGCCGGGATTGTGGGTTCGAATTCCACACAAGGCACGGATGTTTGGCATGTGTATGTGTTTATTCTGTTTGTGTTGTCCTGCGTTTGGGTAGAGGCCTTGCGACGAGCTGATCACTCGTGCAAGGAGTCCTACCGTCAATAAAATGATAATGGAACTGAAAAATCAGAGGCCAGGGCCCAAGGGAGCTTTAGCGCAAGTTAAAAAAAACACACCGCAGGGCAACAGCAAAGGCAGACCACAAAGAAGACGGAAGAACCAATCCTAAGACGAATCTTGGAGCCAAAATATGTAGTCTAATAAGGCTAATTCTTCCAGATGATGACTCCAAGGTCCATAAACAATATTTTTATATTTTTCATGGAATTTACTTCCTCAAAATTACCTCACCTGCGGAAAGTACACTCGATACGTAGCAAGATCGCGTGATAGGCCGTAAACGAAATTCGAATCAAGATCTCCTACACAGTCGCACGATCACATGTATCCGAAAGTTCTTTGCGACGGACAATGTCTGACAAAAGAATTGACTCCACGGTGAAATGCTTTTCTTTGAAAAAAAAAATACTATAGTCCAAGTGATCACGACATCCCGCCTTTAATGGAAGCTGGAAATTCATAAGAGTGTCCATGAAAGACTGAATCCTATGCCACATGGACAAAGATTTGATTAATTCTTAAAAGCAAGAGTTACATTACGGCTGGCTGTTTACCGCCAATCAGTCTTGGCGACAAGCCCCTTGAGACTCACGACCGATTTTTTTAAACTGAATACTTGCTGTCATAATCCTTATGTCACATCCTCTCTGACGAGAGGATGGGTCTGTCGTTTACAATTACTGCTGGCTCTCGCAAGCGCAGTCATTCTCAAGTCCAAGTCCCGTGGGACTCATTATGACATACTACTGTCTCAGATTCCAGATTCTTGCAACCTGCAGGGTCAGGGCCCTGTATTTACATCCCCCAGGTACTGGGTTCCCTTTTCGTCCCCCTTAAAGAATGAAATTCTTCTAAGTAATATATAGAAATCCAGTTCGTACCTTACAGGAAACAGGATTATATCTCATTTGCATACATCAACAGGCTATGTTACCTATTTAGGCTAGTAATCGCTGTGAGGGCCACACCAAACACACACCCTGTGGGCAAAGTGTAATTTATGTATGATAAAATTGATAGTACATGGAGTAACCACTCAGACTTAAAGAGCTAATTTTAACATTACCATCCCATTCAGGTTTATCTCTTCTCCATTTCTTGCCCCTAAGATTGTGCCCCAAAAATTGTCGAGTCCGTGGCTCTTTATGGCATTTCGTACCACACAAATTCTTTACGAAGAGGGGCTACTGACCCCACATCTCATGCATAAGCTAGAGGCTACCTTATGTCGTCCGTCCGCAACTGCCTATTGAACATAATCACATCTACTTCCCACATCTCTTGCATCCGCTACCTGAAGACGCGTCGTGTCGTGGTAACGACACTGTCTCATTCAAAAATTTACAAGTTACCTCGAAAACGCCGAGGCAGCGGCCCAGCTTCCCGCACACGCCGGCCTCCTCGAGGACTTCCCGGATCGCCGTAACACTGGGTTCCTCCTCGGGTTCGATGCCGCCCCCGGGCACGATCCAGTGGTCCGGCCGTCGCGACGACGTCACCAGCAGCACCTGCACAGCATATAGAGAGGAAATGCAGCGTTGGCACGGGGAATCCCGAAGCAGCCGCAAGTCGGCAACTGAATGTAACTACTGTTATTACTTTTATTAAAGTGTACCTCCGTGTTTCTGGGTACCAATGCGAGACACAGCTGCACAAACTGTAGACCTCTGTTGCTAGGTAAAGGTAAAGTCGCCCTTGTGCTTAATTAATTAAGCACCATGCCACGAAGAAGGGTCGGGGAGTGAACATATAGCTCCGCCATTGTTGACCTCGGCACTTGATGGAGGTGATTGGTCAATTTCACGCCCCTGCTCCGTTACCCGAAGAGGAACCGCTCCTCGGAACAGGAAGCTGGGTGGGCCCCAGAGTCGATGTAGAGCAGATGGCTGGAGCCACCTGCTCACGCTGGTTCCTTGCTCGCGGATTTTTCTTTTTTCTTCTACCCTGAAGATGGAGGCGATACGTTCCTCCAAAACGACGGTTTATACTATGTCTAAACGGCGCCACATCCCAGAAGACGGCATTCTTCAAAACGAAAAAATGATATCCGACATGCGCTTAATTAAATCGTTTATCTTTCCATTCTGCATATGTTAATCCTTAATTTCGGTTTGTTTGGGTTAGATACTAAGCATGCGAGATTTGAAGTTCTCATGGTGGTGAATACGAAGATGTGATGCTGTGTAGTCTGGTAGATCTGGCAGACCGACGTTTCGGAGGAATGTACTGCCTCCCTTATCTATCCTGGAGAAACGAGTTGAGTGACAGCAGCAAGTCGGAGGGTGAAAAGTATAACCGGTGGAGTAGACGTGACGCAGCAACGGAGGAAATGTTGCAACCAGTGTTTTCTGTGCGGTCCGTGCCGATGTTATATGACGAGAAGCAACTGCAAAAAAAAAAAAAAAAAAAACTCGGGGCGTGATTTTCATGGGCTTGACGCCAAGACGAACTAATTGGCGGTAAATCGCTAGTCGTAAAGTAACGCTGACTTTTCTGTAACTTCTTGAGTGCGTAGATTAGTAAATAAGAGATAGTTTTATACCAGTCGTAGTATGGTCTAGTGGTCAGAGTTCCTGACTACAGATCCAGAGGTCCGGGTTCGATTTCCGGTGCTTCCAAATTTTCGGAGAAGTAGTGGGTCAGGAACGGGGTCCATTCAGCTTCGTGAGGATGATTGAGGAGTTATTTCAAGGAAACAGCGGCTCCGGTCTAGAAAACCGAAACTAACTGCCGTGGGGGATTCGTTGCGCTGACCAGGTGACACCCTCTATCCGATAAAGTTCGCACTAACTTCGCGCCGAAAAGTGGAGGTAGCACGGTTGGTATAGTTCGCTTACGGACTAAAACCATGGAGTTTGTTTTGTCTTCTTTTGTTTGTAGTTAGTGTGAATAGTTAGCACCACACAGAAATATAATTCGTAGCACACAAGGCATCAAGTAGGTGGAAGCCTAAAGGGCGTTGTGTTTGACAGAGATGGCTAAGGCTATACTAACGCAATGTGAGACGCTGGCGAGCCGTGACAGTCTCGTTCCGTGAGAAATATGCAAATTAATACCGGACAATCCGGATGGGAAAGGAATGGGTCTAGTGCGAGCTTCTACAGTTCAAATAGGGCAGCCTGTTCAAAATTCGACCAAAGTGAAGGGAACGGGCGCCAAGTGCAAACAACCAGCGTACAGAGCAGAAGCAGAGAGGCACACACTCTAAGTTTCCGGACGGACAGGCGCTAATTACCGGCTTATTTCATACGTATGGAGGATACAAGGAAATGAAGGAAGGCCTTCAACTGAGAGGCAAGGAATCGGGACAGGAAGATGCCTCGAAAGCAGAATGAAACAAACGCCGAAAGAGAGGCAGAAATTCTGGAAATGAGTGCTGCACAAAGAAACAGAAGAAGCGACATCCAACCCACAAAAACTCGTGGCCAGTGGCAACGAATAACTTCTTATGCCACTCAGCCATTTATATATGGAAAATTGGGAGACGGATAGGGAAGGAAAGTCCACTGAAACACTGGAACAAGTGACAGTCCGGGCAAAGGTAGGACATCTCCCGTCGTATTAACATCGGAGACCAACTTAGTCTCCAGAGAGAACAAAAAAGTACTGCGACCGGACCCCGGATAACAACTAAGAGTATAGTGGACAACCACGCCATATAAACATTCCTCACTGAGACGAATTCCACTTCTTTACATTTTCCATAAAATGCGGTTAAACCCATTAAAGCTGTTATCAGGCATTTTCTAAACAGTGTTCTACAGAGGACATAACCGTGGCCCTCCAGGAGATAGCATCAGTGTAAAACTGACGACCGGAAAACGTACCCCGCAGAAGGAGGGGTCACACACACAACTCCCTCCCCCTCTTCCTTGTTATTCTAGCAAGGATCCAAAAAGCTCCAGAAATCTTCAAATTGAGAAAACTCTGTAATATAGTTAAAAAGGTCGAAGCTTATAGATCGGAAACGGGGCTTACACAATGCTACAATTGTCAGCATTCTGGCCACATCCGGGTGGACTGCCTCCTTGCTGCCTGTGGTGTGGAGTGGACATTGCCATCGTGAGTGTCCAGAGAAACAGAACTCAGGAGTGTCCCAACCTGCTGCAATTGCGCCCTCCAAGACGGGGGGAACCGCAGCACCCAGCAAATTACAGAGGCCGCAATCATGTAAAACAGGAATTACAGAGCAGAAGGAACCTGCGGACGGCAACACAGGGCTCAGCAAGGGTACTACACCCGAGCGATCATTCGCTGCTGCTCTTCGCAGCTCACAACAAAAACAGCAACAGTCTTCAGGAAAACACACGCCTTAGCAAGCCAATCAAACCTCAGGACAGTCAGTAGAGGCTAAAAACGTAAATAGTAATTCAATGGACGAAATGTTTGTTGCTTTCACTAAGGTGCAGCAGATTATGATAGAGCTCTATGGTACTGAGACAGAAAAAGAAAGGTTGCTGTCATAACTCAAGCTGTGTTTAGACTGCTGAAGAATAAAGCCAGAAACAGTTCATAGACCTCTGAAAATTATAGCATTCAGTGCTAACGGCATTGGGAGGCAGGCCTACGAGGTCACAAAACAGTTGCAACACTTAAAAATAGACGTGGCCCTGTTCTCAGAAACACACCTGAAATCTCATGAGTTCCTACATTCCAAACTGTGATATTTATCGGACTGACTGTGAAGACAGACACAAAGGCGAAACTGCCATTGCAGTTAAGAAAGGCATCCCTCACACATGCGTAGACTTACCCTTTCTCTTATCAGTAGAAGCAACAGGGGTCTATATACCAATTGGAAACACTGAAATATTCCTTGCAGCTCTTTATAAATCTCCGCAAAGACTGTAGAGTGACACAGACACCACAGAGCTATTACGTTTTACAAATAAGTCTATCCTGGCAGGTGACCTGAATGCAAAGCACCCTGTTTGGAATAGTAAAGTTTCAAACCTCTCAGGCTTGAAGCTCTTGGAATTACCTGTTAGTTCTAAATTATAAATTTTAGTACTTCTTTTGGCTTATTTTGGACTTCACCCATCGTCTGGCATGTAAAAGACAAAAGACCACGACGTTTCGGAGTAGGTTTATCCTTCCCTATCCACCTGAAGACGGAGATAGATCCAGTCTCCGAAACGTCGTGGTCTTTTGTCTTTTACATGCCAGACGATGGGTGAAGTCCAAAATAAGCCAAAAGAAGTACTAAAATTTATAATTTAGAACTAACAGGTAATTCCAAGAGCTTCAAGCCTGAGAGGTTTGAAACTTTACTATTCCAAACAGGGTGCTTTGCATTCAGGTCACCTGCCAGGATAGACTTATTTGTAAAACGTAATAGCTCTGTGGTGTCTGTGTCACTCTACAGTCTTTGCGGAGATTTATAAAGAGCTGCAAGGAATATTTCAGTGTTTCCAATTGGTATATAGACCCCTGTTGCTTCTACTGATAAGAGAAAGGGTAAGTCTACGCATGTGTGAGGGATGCCTTTCTTAACTGCAATGGCAGTTTCGCCTTTGTGTCTGTCTTCACAGTCAGTCCGATAAATATCACAGTTTGGAATGTAGGAACTCATGAGATTTCAGGTGTGTTTCTGAGAACAGGGCCACGTCTATTTTTAAGTGTTGCAACTGTTTTGTGACCTCGTAGGCCTGCCTCCCAATGCCGTTAGCACTGAATGCTATAATTTTCAGAGGTCTANAAGGATTCTGACGATGGTGTATACTGTACTTCTTTTGGCTTATTTTGGACTTCACCCATCGTCTGGCATGTAAAAGACAAAAGACCACGACGTTTCGGAGTAGGTTTATCCTTCCCTATCCACCTGAAGACGGAGATAGATCCAGTCTCCGAAACGTCGTGGTCTTTTGTCTTTTACATGCCAGACGATGGGTGAAGTCCAAAATAAGCCAAAAGAAGTACAGTATACACCATCGTCAGAATCCTTTCAAGTCTATAAATTTTAGCTCCACAATGTTCTACGCATTACACATCTGATAGAAGAGGCGATGTTCTCGACATGGTACTACATCAGAACGTACGATTGTCAGAGGTCGTCGTCACTGACATCCTGGACTCAGCTCACCTACAGATAATGTTTAGCATTCTGGACCCTGTCACAACGAGGGAAATGAAGTGAAAACTCGGGCGATCTATTTCTCCAGAGGACTAAGAGTCCCTGATGACGCTACAACTAAACGGACGAGACATTCCCTCTATAAATAATATAACGTGCCTTGGTGTCACTTTCGACAGGATGATGATATGGAGACACCATATCGAAAGGACAGTCGCGCACGTACGTAAGGACCTATTCTCTATTCAAAAGTGTTGGACGTAGCTTCCAAATTCCTTACGTGTATGACCATGTAGGACACAGGCGCAAGTAATCCTAAACCATGTAAATCCAAATGTATGTGGATAAGGAGTAGCCAGGCATAGGAAGTACATGGGCTTAAACTTTGCGGCGGTCAGGCCTGTGACCATTCACGTGACTAACTGCAGTTTGAGA